GCCAGAAGCAGCAGCAGCAGCAGCAGCAGCAGGTCTAGCAGCACCGCTCGTGCAGCACCAGTGGACATCCCAGTAGCAGATCTTCCAGCAGCAGTTGCTGTAAGTCAAGATGTAGCAACTATTGCTTCTGAATGTCAAGCTGATGCTGCAGCAGCAGCTGCTGCTGCAGCGTCAGCTTGACACTGCAGAGTTAGACTTGGGGGCCCCCCAGCTTGCGCTGAGGGGGCCCCCAAGGCTCGGCGTCCTTTGACGCCGAGCCTTCTGTGGAGAAGTGCTGCTGCGTGCCAAGGGGCCCTTTCCGTGGCTTCTTCTGTTTAATAGAGTTTAAAAGTCAATTAAATTCATTTATTCATTTAAATTGAGTAGAAGAGGGCACCAAAGACCCTCTCCGCGCCTAGTCCGTGGGGCCCCCTCGAGTCTGGCCTCCAGGGGCTGGCGGAAGGCAGGGTTTGCAGTGTACCTACAGCTCCTTTGTGCTCCCAGTTTTAGCCTATAAGTCATATTTCTGTTACTGCTGCCGCTGCTGTTGCTGCTGCTGCTGCTGCTGGTCCTGTTGCTGCTGCTCGATGGCCCAGTGGTTACACCAGTGGCTCGCTATCCCATTTGAGGCTCCCCAGGGGGGACTTCCGGAGCTCCTAAGGGCCCCTCTGCCTCCTTCTTGAGGGTTTAGGGTTTAGGGCATAGGGTTTAGGGTTTGGAGGCCGCAGATGCAGCCTGAGCCCCAATGGTGAGGCAAATCATCTCTATACACACAGGACAGGCGGGCCTCCGCAGCGGCGCTGCTTTTTGGGATTTGCTGCTGGCAGAACAGGGCCTTTCTTACGAGGGCTTGCCCTTTGACTCTACAATGGGGGCCCCCTGGGGGGCCCCCGGGGGGGCCCCTTGGGGAGCCGCCTGGGGGCCCGCCTACGGCGCCGCAAAGGGGGGCCCCCTGGGGTCCCCCGCAGGGTCACCCCTGGGGTCGCCCCTGGGGGGCCCCTTAGGGGGCCCCCTAGGGGCACCCCTGGGGCCCCTCATGCTGGAGCAGGGGACCCTAGGGACCCCCAGCTGGGTGCCCCTGGGGCCCCTGGGGGCGACGGCGCAGGCAGCAGAAGATTGTTTTTTCACTGAGACAGAAGCGGGAAGAAGAGTTCCTCGGTGAGTTCTGGAAGCCCCCTACAAGCAGCAGCAGCAGCAGCTGCTGCTGCTGCTGCTGCTGCTGCTGTATTTTGCTGCAGGGCCCTTTCTCTCTTCGCCCACCTTTGGCTGTCTCTTGTTTGGGGCCCCCATGGCTGCTTGTTGCTTCTGTGGCTCAAATAGCTGCAGCAGCAAACTCAGATTTGGCTTCATTTTCTTTTCGTCTTTCTTTCTTGTTGTTTTATTTAGGGCTCAGAGTTTAGGGTTTAGGGTTTAGGGTTTAGGGTTTAGGGTTTTCTCTGTGGCAGCTCTATCTTTTCATTGATGCCCCCTGGGCTTCTGTCTCGCTTTTGCTGCACCCTCCTGCGTGCTCCTGCTTTTCCCACTTCCTCTGCTGCTGCTGCCGCTGCTGCTGCTACTGCTGCTGCTGCTGCTGCTGCTGCTGCTGCTGCTTACGCCCCTGCAGCTGTTCCCGCCGCTGTTTCTTGTGCTGCTGCCTCTGCTGCTGCTGCTGCTTCTGCTGCTTCTTCTGCTGCTGCTAGTGCTTTTGCTTCTGCTGCTATTTCTGCTGCTTCTGCTGCTGCTGCTGCTTCTACGTCTCCCTCTTCCCCCTCTGCTTCTTCTTCTGCTACTGCAAGTGCTTTTGCTTCCGCTACTGCTGTTGCTGCTGCTACTGCTTTTGCTGCTGCTGCTACTGCTGCTGCTGCAGCTGCTGCTGCCGCTGCCGGGTGCAGCAGATTGCGCGCGGAGTGTGTGTGCGTGTCAGGTGCGCAATGCTGGACCTGGACTTGGAGAGTCGGGACGAGATTTTGAAAAGTCCTTTGGGTCGAACTTTTTCTCCTTTTTCTTTTTTTTCCGGAAAAGAAAGTGCAAGTTCTCTTTTTCCCAGAGGCCGCGCGCTGGGATCGGCCGATCCCAACCGATCCCTCTCCCAAGACCTCCTCAGGCAGCAGCTCGAGGCCACAGACAAGCCCGGAGGTCTGCGCCCAAAACCCTAAACCCTAAACCCTAAACCCTAAACCCTAAACCCTAAACCCTTGCTGCGACGCATTAACAGTGAGGCCGCAAGCTCTACTCCATTTTCCGTGCTCCTCTGGCTTTTCGAGCCCTCACACAAGTCTAGCATTACAGTTCTAGTCCCGTTCCGCTAGGGTTTTGGGTTTAGGGTTTGGGGTTTAGAGTTTAGGGTTTAGGCGTGTGTCTGGGTTTGTTGTGTGTGCGTTGTCTCAGGCCTCTTGTGCATGCGCTCTTTGGGGGGCGGGGCTGGCTCAGGGTTTGGAGAAGCAGTTTTGACATTTGCTGCAGAAGAAGCCCCGAAAGTGCCTTTGCTGGAGTTGCTGCTGTGGCCGTCGCCAGCAGCTAGCTGCACAGCCAGCCGCGCAGCTAGCCACGCAGCTAGCTGCGTAGAGCCCTACAATGCCCTTCTCGCCCTCACCGGCGTTCTAGACAGAGGGGGGGGGGCCCTTTTAATGGACAACTCCGCCCTCGCTGCTCTCTTTTCTAGAGCTACTTCGCGCTACCCCTTCACTCAAGACCTCAACAACATTATAGCCCAGGCCCTTTCCAGTGAGTCCCACAGTTCTCACCAGCTTTACTGCGTTTTCAGGGGCCCCTGGGGCCCCCCGGGGGCCCCTGGGGGCCCCTGAGTGAACTCTGTGGACCCCTGGAGGCTCATGGGGGCTTCTGGGGGTCCCTGGGTGCCTCTGTAGGCCTCTTGGAGGCCCTAGGGGCGCCTGGAGGATTCTTCGGGGGGCCCTAGGGGCTTTTTGGGGCCCCTGGGAGCCCTGTTGGGTCCCGACCTCAGGGGCCCCAGGGAACCTTGTTCGTTCCCTGGGGCCCCCCGAGGGCCCCCGCTAGGCCGCCGGTAACCCCGTGGGGCCCTCAAAGAAGCTCCTGGGGGCCCCCCGGGGGCCCCCGTAGGTTCGCTTTTGTGTGGAGGGCTGTGGGGATCTTGTGAAGGGTGTGGGTTTGGGTGTACGTCCACGTTGGAGTGTACGTACGCCCCAAACCGGCAGCCTTCACAAGGTGTGGGTTTGGGGTGTACGCGCACGTTGGAGTGTACGTACACCTGGCGCGGTGTGTGGGGTGGCGCAGGCGTTACTCTTTCTCTGCGGTTTCCTTCTGCTGGTACTTGCTGCTTGGGTTCTTTGCTGAGCAATTCTGTGCCGCTGCCGTCTTTGGCGCTGCTATCAGCTTCTTACTTTCCATTAGCAGCAAAAGAGCTGCTGCCTTTTCTCAAAACTTCCACCAAAGACACAACTTTGGAAGTTTTCAAACAACGACAGTTTCTCTTCTCCGCGCCCTACACCCGCGGCATGTTCCTCACCGCCA